CATAGTCACACAAAATAAGATTTACTTATCACAAATTAGCACATCGACACTTTTAATATTTACAATTAGTATTTGAGAGAAATGCATCACGAATCCTTTTTTTTCCTTTTTTTTCTATCTCTTTTTTCTATTTCTATTTCTCTTAGTCATTTTAACTATCGTGTGCTCTTAAATAGCTTTCGTCCCTTCATACGTTTAGGGATATCGATCCGTCGTAGGTTTATTCGCACACCGAACACGATGATTATGTGTACCCGATTAATAATCCTTATTTCCACACTATACTCACTTACAACACAAACGGTAAAAGCTTTTTCATTTCTTAGTATTATCATTCCCTAAATGCACAGTGTGTAAAAACAAAATCATTTCTTAGTTTTTGTAAGTAAATAAATAAATCACTACCTAATTCCTTCAATACAAATTGATTATTTTGCTTTGATAAATTTACCGCTGTGCTAATATAATTCGTCGCTTCGTTCATGCTAAGTTGAATTTAAATGAAAAAAAAAAAAAAAATAATAAAAAGGGATTATATCTGAGTAATTAAATGACAATTAATTGTATTTTAGTGCATGCAATTAGATCATTCCATCGATGTTGCTTCAAATTCGATTAGAAATGTGATGAAATTTTGTTTGCGTTAATATTTGACATCGATCGATAATAACATTAAGCGTAGTCGAAATTACGATAATTTACGAGATTTATCGAGTTTGGGGTAACACCTGTAATTAAATTTTATTAAATAAAAAAAAACCAGAAAAACCGAAAAGTTTCTAAACAAACTCCAGCATGTTTCGCGAAACAAGAGGCACACGATAGTAAATGAAGGATGTAGTGCTTGATTAGGGCTCTCTTTTTTGGCAAGTGTGGCATGGGGTAATGTGAAATATTTCTATGGTGGTAAATTCCTGATCGATTAAAACTCGTAGGTACATTGGTGACACTCGTATCGAGAGGAAACAAAGTCGATTTTATAGCCAATCTTACACCGCACCAAATCCTATTATTACCGTCACGGAACACACGCCTACACCATCACCGGAATACATGAAACGAATGCAGGTAATAAACATAAATTAGATTTTTATTTTTTCTGCTATATTTATCCTGGATTTAATTTTCAATTATTTCATGTTTTTTTTTTTTTATGGATCATTTATATAAAAAGGGATCGATCGATAGCCAATTAGATGCTATCAGCATACACGGTGGAAGATTGGATTTCGAAAGGAAACCGAGCCTTACCAGATCTCAAACAGATTCTAATATTACTTACATGAGTGACGAAGTGCCAGAAGCACCTGGTTCAGGCAGTTATATCACTAAAGAGGGTGATATCGATTACCAAGTTGTTCTCAAGGTAAACGGGATTTTTTATCTCAAAGAATAATTATAATATTCTCGATAAATTCCAACCCTTTTTGCATTCTATAAATTTATCGTAACTTTTCTTTTCTTAAGTATTCTGGTTAGTGACAAAGTTGTTCTCTGATATTTTAGGCTGTTAACTCGGTTGCATTACGTGACAATACTTGTTGCACGGCTCGTGTTTGCGAAAGTATTCTGAACCTTGTTGAACTCTTAATGGATATGGGTGTGATGAAACAATGTCTTCGCGATGAAACTATGGGCAGTAATTTAGGTGCAACATTGTTGATTCCTATTTATTTGATGAGGTAGAAAGCCAAGTTTACAGAACACAAATTTAAAAAGAAATCGGTTTCCTGTTAACTTGGCTTTACCTTTGTAAAACAAAAAATATATTTAATGTTAATAATAATTGATAAACTCCCTTAGGGTCGGGTACAGGAATGGACAAATCGGAAAACTTACGAAAACATGATTCTCCAGTGAACGATCAAGAAATTAGACACGATTCAAATGGAAAGAATAAATCAACAGCTCATAATCTTCTGATGAATTGCGTTATCAGAGTACTAAGACATTTGGGTTGTCCACATGGATGTTCCGATGGGATTCGTGGACCTCATGCGGATTTCTGTCGTTCTCAGGGACAAACGATTTTAGGAAAATTACATCGAGCAAGTTATAAACAATTTTCGAAATTTCTGAGAACGATGATACGCGAACAACCCATCTCGGAAATCTTAGACTTTTTTCACGCATACGTTGGCTTCTGCGTCGATCCAACTTCGTTGCTATCTCCATTAAGTGAGTAAATCCAAACGGAAGAATGTAATTACTACGAGAATCGTTGATCAGTTTTTCAATTTGTAACAGATCAAAAACGGGGTTCGAACAAGTCACCGGATGCTGCATCTCAAGGTGGTTATGCTACGAATTTCGGTGCTGGTATGATAGGCAGTGGTAGTAGCAATGTTGGTACTACGAATACTACGTCTCATACAGGAGCAACAAATACAGGAACAACTAATATCGTACCAGTGACCGCATCCTATGGTACTGGCAATTACGGAGCTCGTGGCATCGAGGGTCAAATAATGAATTGTGTTTTCAAAACTCTTGTGACTCGATTTATTCAATCTGCCAAAGAATGGAGATCCCATGAAAATATTGCCCTTTATTGCGATCTTAGGCAATTCATGACTTACGTTAAAGAAGCTCACGGTGGTATATTTCGACGTGTTGCCTTAAGCGGCATTTTAGATTCAACCGATCGTCCCAACAAACGTTGCAACAGCAAAGTTCAAACAACTCGTGTGATCAGACACATACACCAATCGGATTTAGAAGAACACGCGGATATTGGTGGTGATACTTGTTTCACGGTCGATGACAGAGGCACCAGAAAATTTCTATTTAAGAAGAGAAGTACTTCTTCAACTTGTGCAGTAAGTTTCTTATTTCATCAGTATCAGGTTTAATTAAGCTTCATTAACGTGCATCGTACACGATTTTTGCAGAGTCTACTTGAAACTGAATTGAACGAAGAGAATTCGAAAATAAGTCAAAGTCCATTAGGTAATTTGCGAAAGAAACATCACGTGTTAACGCCTAGACAAAGTGAACGCAATTTAGGAATTGGAGAAGTGTATTTATCAGGAAAAATGCGAAAATCAACTCGTTTTCAAATTGGAGGTATTGGTAAGTTGTTAATTAATTGTTGATCAATTGTAGCTGTTTTTGTAAATAAATCGATGAAATTGATTTGTAGTCAATTGGTTTCGAAAGGAGTATGGAAGAACTGATTCTACAGATAGTCATGAAAGTAGCGAGTCACCAACGGATGGTAGTTTCGTAAGACAACCGAGTTTGCATTATGGTCATCACCGAAGTACTTCTCGAACGAGTCGTGGGTAAGGATCTTTCTAAATATTTCATATAAGAGCTTGAAATTATAAAAAAAAAAATCATTGTTAAGAAAAGAGTTTTTGTAGAGTTGGACAAACCTTACAAAAAGCACGGCGTCGTATGGAAGATCAATTGAACAAAATTGGTTTTGGTAAAAGCAAAAAGAAAGAAAGTTTGGAAGAACCACCAGGTAGCTGTAAGTAATCTACTTACAACTACTTTTATCATTCAAAAAGAAATTAACAACAATGAAATGTTTCAATAGATTTTAGTAGAAGAAATTCCATGGAACTGGGCGAAGCTTCAAGGGAATCCGAATTTGTAGTTTTAAAGGAAAGAAGATTGGTACCTCAAACGTCTATCTACGATGGAATGTTGAGGTTTTCTTTTCTTTTGGAAACATGCCAACCTGGCACTTTCCCCGACCATCATTTGATGGCTGCAATATTAGATCTTGTAAGTTAAACTCTACTGTATTTTGTATGAAATAATATTCTACAATATTATTTGCGATTTCAGCCTTATGCACCTGTAGTTTCTCGTGCCTGTTTGATATTGGAATGCGCCCATTTTGTGCATCAATGCAACAAAGGGCATTGGCCGACGTGGATGAAAGTTAACTTTCCTATTTTTCGACCATCCGTTCCGATGAACAATCGTAATGCATCGGCTGCTATGAGACGAATCCATATGTTGCAGAGAACTGCGGGAAAATTATTTTATCAGTGGGCAGAGGTTTCTTCATTTTTGGGATTACATTAGTAATATTTAGAGAAAAAACAAAAATATACAACCATTTATTAGTATTACTAAATTAGGAAATCATTTTGGAACAGGCAATAGGCGCGAGATTGGAGGAATTATTAATCGAGGATAAACAAAATATCGATCAGGTGATTTCTATGGTTTCTGATGAAAGTAAGCAACGTGATTTGATCATCGAAGATGAAGAAGAGGATTTCCTAGACGAAGCTAGCATTAATTCTTATGGATCGCAGTGTCCAATAGCATTGCGCTTGGTTGCGTGTATTCTTCTTTTGGAAGTAACAGCTTTTCTAAGGGAGACTTATCGGACATTACCGAAATCCAGTAAACATTTAACTAGGGAGCGTCCACCTCCTTGGGACAGAATGTGCAGCAGAGAAGCGAATCGAAGGTGGAGTGTAGCTCTTTCATCGATGGGCCATTCTCAAACTTCGGCCCAGAGTCTTCAATCGATTGCTGGAGATCGTGAAATGACTAGTAAGTTTATTAAACAAATAAGTTTAATTAACAGCAAGTAAAGACGAATATTATTCTCAATGAAATATTTGATTTTGCCGAAACGATACAGCCGAACGTAAAATCAGTTTCGTTCTCTACGAACCTGATAACGAGTCAGAAGGAAGCAGTAAATCAACAGTTACGATTCAAGGAGAGGAACAGAATATTGAGAAAGATAAAGGTAAACGGGCACAGGCACAGGCACATCAAAGTAGGCCAATTTTGTTACGCCGTGGTACTGGCGGTACCACCACAGGTTCATTCAAGAAGAGAAGCTTAAAACTTCGGCGTGGAACCAAAGAGGGCAAGGATACAGAATGCGAAGCATGTAGGAAACATTTTAAACAAGTGTATCAATAATTTCTTTTCTAAAAATATCTCATAATTATGATGTTTTTCTTAGTTACAGTTAAACGAGCAGATTCCATACAATCGAAAAGAAAAGTAAGTTCATTGTCCGACAGAAGCGACACTTCTGAACCCGGTGGTTTAGGTGGCGAGGTCAGTGGTGAAGAATCTCCCGGGATTCTCAGTGATGATCAGCCTCCGGAAAGTCCAAGCGACAGCAATGAAACTGATGAGACCAATAAAAATTTTCCTTGGATGAAGGTGCTAGTACAAGTATCAAATTCCTTCAACTTTTATTGCTCCCATCAAAATTTCTGCCATCCATTTTGTCATCGTCGTCAAATGCGTGCTAGCAGTAGACTAATCAAATCCGTTAGGAAGATTTACGGCGAGGAATTTGGAATATTGAACGGTACAGGTATGTTCGATGCTGACAGCGATAAAAAAGAAGATGGCAAGAAAGATAAACGAAGTCGTAAGGTTTCCGAACAAACTAGCACCCAAGTATCACCCGTACGAAGAAAAGATAGCGTAGGACGAAAGTACAAGTAAGTTTTGATATTTCTCCTATTTCCAAAGAAAATGAATATAAATCAATTTCAGAATTGACAAGAATATGGACGGATCGCAATCAGGTCGATTATGTCAAAGAGATTCTTCCAAGGATTTGGCGGACCAAGATTCAGCCGACAAAGGAAAGGAGTCGTCGAAAAACTTAGATGCAAAAGCTGATTCCGAAGCAGAAACCCCAGCGATTCTAAAATATATAAAAACACAAGTAAAGGATGCTTTCCACGCTCCTATGGCGACTTTGGTAAAAGGTGCAGTTGTGATGACCGAGGATTTGTTCGTGGACGTTCTACCTGTTGCTTGGGAACTTTTGTTAGAGTCCAATCAAGAAGTAGCTGCATCAGCAGCATCTCTGTTTATAGTGGCAGCTGTGCGAGCTCCAAATCAAGCCAGCGAAATAATGAACAATGGTCTTCAACATAGCAATTCCTCGGTACGAATAAATGCTATCTTGAGATTTCAAGTTTTGTGGAAATTGCGTTATCAGGTATGGCCTAGAATGGAAGAAGCGGCTCATATGACTTTTAAAGTTCCACCACCTGGAATTGAATTTACTTTGCCATCTCCGAAAATTGGCATCGAATCTTTACCAGTTGTTGACCCACCTTGGATGCCTCAAGTTAAAACTAAAGTTGAAGAAGTTACCATTAATCAAGAACGTCATGTAAGTTCATTTATATTGTTCAATGTAATAGAATACTAAACAGTAAATTTTTTATGAAAATTTCTAATACGGCAGAGATCATTGGTGACGGCAACAAAAACTCGAAAGAAACAACAGACTGAGTTAATTAAAAGGGCTTTGCAAGCTCAAGACGATAAAAAGAGAGAGGAAAGAGAAAATTTTCTAATAACAACAATCCCAATTACTGTTCAAGCTGCTTACGAACCTAGTCCAGTAGGAGATGATCATGATGAAGGTATCTTTATAAAACTTATATAAAATATTTTAATTAGACAATGCTATCCTCTTTTTGGTCTTATTTGGAACACCCCATATATAAAAACCTACGGATTTAGGTAATGTTGGAGATGAGGATGGGGGTGAGGCAATACCTAGGAATACTCAACATCATGGTCAATCAGCCCTGTCATTATTTCCATCTTCTTTGTGTTCTGCTATTGTTCAAATCATAAATTTACTTGATAACGCCGCGGTATCTGATGATGGAAACGCGGTTTATGAAGTTGCATATCAGGTATGATTTTATGAATTGTTTAACACTTTCTATGTTCTATTTATTACATCCCAGAGTAAAATGTAATAATGTATGCGTTAAATTATTAGGTGATTTGGGGATGTCTTGTAGAAGACAGTGCACTTTTCCTTCGTTACGTTTTGGAACGTCTTACAAGGGATAAACAAGAATTAATGTTTAAGATCTTACGACACCTTATTAGATTTGTCCCAAAACTACCACAGCAAGCAGCTTTTGCTTTATATAATTACATTATTGGATATGTGATGTTCTACGTTCGTTCACCTCATGAAGAAGGCCAGAAATTAATTGGTACTGCTCTGTCTATTTTATGGATGGTACGTTTTTCATTTGTGATCTTAACTGATTAAAAAATACCTACTCGACCTATTCTGTTAACATTAATTATTTTACGTTTAGGTCGTTCATAGTGTACATGGCATAATGTTCAAGGATTTAAAACAAATTCTTCGTAAGGAACAATGTGATGCATCAATTTTGTTAACAGCAAACGTTCCTTCAGCAAAAAAGATTATTGTTCATGGACCTCAGGATGTTGACGCTGCTGGAATACCATCTCAGTTTCCGGTACAGGAAGATACACAGTTTTGTCAAATATTAAGGGAATCTTTGGATTTTTTTGGAATCGAGGAACTCAAGCATAGAGAATACTTTCTTGTTGATTATAAAACACGTAAAGATTTTTTACCATTTTGTATTATTATAACTACATACTTCTATCCATGATTTCTGGCTTATCTGATTATCTAAATATTTTTTTAGATCAAATACATAATCCATCATCTTACGTTCGAGATTATTACTTTTTTAAAAGATCTCAGTATCCGCAGATACAATTGGTTCATATGAAACCTGAAGATGCATTTAATGCGCTACAACGACGAGAGCTTATTCACAAGTTCGTTGAAATTGGAAAAGTTTTACTGACATGGGCAATCTTGAAGAACGTTGACATGGTCGTACAGAGAGTTGTATTTCTACACGAAGAACTCATGAAGTTACCATCCTTTCCTAGAAAAGCATTAGAAGCGGATTTAGATCTTTACAAGGGCGGTGAAATAGGAAGAGTAAGAAGAACACTTTTATTCCAAATAAAATAATCGTCAAAATTTGTATTAGAATTATTTGTTGTGTACAGGAACTTCTTGGATTAGACGTAATGCACAAATTCATGTGGGTTAGACTAATAGCCAGAATGTTCGAAGCAATGGCTGGAAATTTTGCTTACTCGGGAGACATTCATTTATTTTTAAACGTGTTGAATGGTGCTGTTATACTTCACAGCGAGGATTCCTGCATTTTACGATACGTTATTGCCACTTACATAAATTCTGCGCATAATTTTAAAAATATCTTTTCAACCAATGGTTATCTTTTGATAATGCCAACGTTGTTACAATTGTACGCGACTCATCAAGCTAACAAATTGGTTACCACAACGGTGGAATATGCGGTTAAACAATTTTACTTGATGAATAGGAAACCATTTATTCTTCAAATGTTTGGAAGCGTGTCAACGATATTGGATACCGACGAGACAAGTGTTCATGGAGAAGCTCACAAAGTAATTTATATTATTGTTATTCTGTCAATGCAATTTGTTTTACATAATCATTAAAGTAATTACAAAAGGTTGTCAATCTCACAGGTACCTTCCACTTGTTTATTCAACTTGTTACTGAGTTTGGAAACACCATCACCCGATCCTTTAAATATTGGAGAACTGGTGAAGGAAGAAAAGCCTTTGAAAGCTATTGACTTTTGTTATCATGACGAGAATGAAATGGTTACTGTTCTGGATTGCATATCGCTCTGTGTTATGGTTATTGCTTACTCTGCTGACTCTATTCGAGGACAGCAAATGCTGGTTAGATAATCCTTGTATAATACAATCGTTGAAGGAACAATCGATATCTATTAAATTTCTTTTTGTTTATAGATAATACTAGAAGCAATATTGCCATGTTACGTTCAACAGATTCAATCTCCTACATACAACAAGGAAGGAAAAACAGAAAAAGAAATAATCAATCAATTAGCTATAGCTGTTAAAACATTGGTTAATAATTCAGAGGCTCTAACAAAGTAAGTATAATATTTTCTAGAAGTATTCTGGTATAAAAAACAATTCTTTCTTTACTTTTAGGTACTATAATGGACCACAAAAGTCAAGTCCTGAACACAAGGGATCCAGTCAAAGGAATTATGGTAAAGGTCCTTATTCTCCAGGTGTTGATTTTGAGGATGATCCACATCCCACCAAATACATCGAACATTCCAAAGCAAGAAATTTTTACGACCGCGATGACGACGCTGAGAGTTCTCATAAAAATGAATTTAGGAGACCGCGCGATACTTTGCTCAATATGGTGGGAGAATTCGTTGCACGTTGTACCATACGTTTGACAGAATTGAACAAGAAATCTCAGGATGGTAAAACGATTGAGCTACTTGATTCCAAATGTCACGTGGTATGTGAAAAAGCTATGAAATTATTTAAGAAAAGATTTTTTAACTGCTTGAATTGATTAATGTTTGTTCATAGCGATTAGCCGATATTGCTCATAGTCTTTTAAAAATTGCCCCTTACGATGCTGGAACAATGGGCTGCCGTGGTTTAAGAAGATACATGAACGACATATTACCTTCCACCGAATGGTCCAACGATGATATGAGACCAGCTTTGACTATTATTTTACGACGACTTGATAAAACCTTTAGCAAGATCCATAAAAAAGCATCGATCAGACGAAATATTAATTGGTCTGCAGCAAGTGATCTTTTGAAAGGCGTTTATGAAACCCTTGCAAGGTGTCCCTATATAGCACACTTTCAATACTTGAAAACTTTACTAAGTACATGCCAGGTATTGAACGAATTAATGCAATACTAATAATATTATTTTAGTTATAAGAATTAACTGTTATTTGTTTATTAACAGTCTCTAATTATTGGTGATACTCAACCTGAAGATGTCGTATCTGCCTCGTCAGCTGCACTAATGAGTAAAATACCACCACAATACTTTTGTTCAACAGTTTTACGTCTAATAGCGTTACACGTGATTTCTCTCGGTGAGGGCTACTCTTTGGAAAATGTTTGCAACGGTCAAGCCATGTTTTCTAGTCAGACGAAGACAGAAAATATGCTTCTCAATTTATTGATACCATTATTTCTACGCGTTGGAACCGGGCGAAAAGGTAAAATAATCGACAAGTTGAAAACAATAGAAGTTTGTAGAAACGATTGAAATTATTTAATCTTTTTGTTTGTAGATGTTCCAAAGTTGAGACAATCGGATATAAGTTTTGCATTAACAGCAGTTTTAAATACCCTCTGGCCCCCAACGAAGGCGACAACAGTAACTGTTCAGACTTTAAAAACAACTGTAGATGCCAGACCTGGTAGTCTAACTTTCGCAGCTAGAGATTCGAAAACATTAACTAAAACATCGTTAACTTTGTATCAAGTTGCCTTTTTAGGTGAGGTAACAATCATCCAAAATGTTCACATCTTTTTTAGAAAATGTAACAATTTCATTTTGATACAGCTGATGATGTGACACGTTCATTTCTCTATGCTTTATAATTATAGCTCTTAAGATTATGACGATATGCTTTGAAACTGAATTAAAAATCGAATGGCCAAAGATCTTGCGTACCATGCGTTTGTTGAACAAACGAAATGAGGCGTCCATATATTTGTGGAACTTCATTGAATTCGTTGTTACTCATCGGACAGCTTTGTATATTCAAATGTTGCCATTCATTGTTCACAAGGTTGGTCAAACGCCTATTTCCGATCACGAGAGAACTATGCATAGTATAATACGTGAGAAAATCAACGGTAATTCTACGACTGTCCCTAAATCTCGGGGAACTCTTCTGACAGACCTCATTCACGAACTGAAGGATCTCAAAGAGGAAATAGAAAATCGACGATTTGGTTTGTAGTCGAATTATTTTCAACAAATCTTAATCATTCAAACAAAGTCAAATTATTTGATTTAATTGACATATGTCTTTAGACGAATTACAACCTGAACCAAAACGAAGTGTCGCTGATATGCATGTCAGTGAAGGACAACCTCGTACTCAAAGACCATCCCTACTGATTGAATTATTAACAGGAGGAGGAGGAGATTTGGGCTCTCGAACTCACATGAATCGGACTCCGACTGAAACTCCAATATCACATTCAGCTACTGTATCACAATCGATACTACATTCAACTTCACAAACAGGTCATTCGAATAGTACCATCAAGACTTCAGCACCTAGTAATGTTCCGTCAAATGGTACACATATTGCTCGTGGTATGTATCATCCAATAACAATAATCAAACATTTGTTTTAATGTTGTTTAACATTGCGTTATTTAATATTAGGATCTATTTCGAGCACAAGCGTAGGATCGTCAACTTTACGGGAGGCAAGTGACGTTACCGGTATCGGAGAATTTAGCAGTGAACGACAAGCACAAACAGGTATTCCATTTTTTCGACAGAGATTTATATTAACATATTATTATATTGTCGGGTATTGAATTCTGTCAATACAGCCGCAAGCCTCTGCAAGCAAATATATTTTACTGTTACGTCGTGAACGTAAAAAAAAAAGAGTCATAATATATGATAATGATTAAACACACTGACTCTTACCACAGTTGGATCGAGCCATTGTCTATAGGACACTGCGGTTCTAATTTTTTACTTTTGCGCTCAAAGTTGGTTCCATGTTATTTTGAAGCGTTTAGCTTTTTTCATGGCAACCCGCCGCATCGTTTCACTTTTCACTCCGTTAACAGCGAGGCTTGCAACGAGGCTTTTCTTCTTAATAAGAAAAAACAAAGCAAACAAATTTAAAGACAAAAATAAAAGAGAAAGAGTTCAACCCGAGAAAAAATAAAAGTCAGGGAGTGAGTGTTTGCTAAGGCTCGTCGAATGTGTTTGTTTCGAATGAAATTTGTTCGTTTGGGCCTCTCTGTTCGGTTGTTTGATTGACACATTTATCATTGCGTTGCTTCCATTGCTAGCTAGGGAACAAAGGTAAGCAGACTGATTCTCTCTACATCAATAAATTCTAATACGATCTACGATCTATATATTATATATATATATACATATATTTATATCCCGCTAATGTGTTACTCCTTTTTCACGCTTCTCATTTTTTCGTAACTTTATCCATACTTATTTAATTCGTTGTACTTTTATTTGTTCTTTTTCTTTCTTTTCCTTATCCTTTAACTTCACATTCTAATTAGGATCGTAAGTTTTTCTACAAATGTTTACCGTGAAACGACTTATACATATAATACAGGTTTTTCTAATCACCCGAATCTATTGCAAATCAAATTAGCAAACATTTAAATACCTCTGTTAAATAAATATACATATACAATATTTCTATGATTTATGAATAATTTTTAAGTCATTTCACAGTAGCAATTTTGAAATGATCACTCTGTTTTTTATTCTCTATTTTCTCTGTCTATCTTTCTTTAAAATACACATAATTTTTCTATAGTAAATTCAACCTTACCAAACTTATTATATAGCAGTATTTAGACAATGGTAATGTCCAACAGTTGGTATCTCCTGTTAATCGTTGCATAGTACGTTCTTTACTACGTAGTTGCTTCGAACTTACTGCGCTTTCTATTTCTTCTTTGTAAGGAAAATTGGGTCTCTACAAAGAAATACATATGTTCATCAATTATATTCTGCATTGTAATCATGACAAATATTCGTAATGCATCTTAACTATCTCTCTCTCTTTCTCTCATTTTCTCTCTCTTATCTATTTCTATCTTTGTCTCTTTGTCTTTCTCTCACACTCTCTTCTACTCTCGAATGCTTACAATATATTTTATTAATGACAAGAGTTACATTTGTTCGTTGATTGCTTGAAGCGACCCTATTGCTTTCTATAAAGCACACGACACTGAAAAGATGACATGCATTTTAAGAATAAATCTCGATCGAAGCAACACCGTAGGTATTTTACTTTTAGGAATATCCTATGTTACCCCAAACACAACGTCAATCATGAAACATTACTTCGTTGTTAAGTCACGACAATTCATTTTTTACGAAAAACAACGTAGGATTCCAGGAATGTTCAATTTAATATTGAAATTTAGCTCGCGTACAAGGAAAGGATTAACAATTGATAGTACGCAGACAACGATCTATTGGGATTCTCATTATGGTTGTATTAGTTGAATCCCAAATGGAGATTAGGGTTGATCGCATTCCTTCGTTTATCATCTCTATCTTTCTCTCTCTCTCTCTCTCTCTCTCTCTCTCCCCCCTCATATTAGATGTTCGATGTGGCATGTTTCAGATAGATCCCAACCATCTTCTGCTAACGATGAACGTAACCATGTTAAGCCTCATCCTATATTACTTCATCAAAAGGCGCCAAAACTGCGCTTTGTATCTTCTGTAGAGTATAGAAACTCATCAGGTAAATCCCACATCCCTGTGCTTTATTTTTTTGATACGTTAATTTTAGAACGGCGACTCGTACGGGAAATTATTTCGCGATAAGGCCCATTAATCGTTATTATTAATTTTAATAATCAATTGACAATATGGGTTCGAATTATTTGGAAATTTAGCGTATCTTATTCCTAAATATCGATAATTCAAATCTTCTCGATCGATTCGGCGTCCCCACGAAGATTTCGATAATGCAAAGGCAAGTAAATTGTATTATTTAGATTTTTTAATTATGTGTCTGTCAAATAAATAGACCATTTTTCCAAAAGCAATTGTTGACGATAGTCGAACCAAAAAGGTATGTCTTTGCACTTAACGATATTCGCACATTATATATTTAGGTATATTTATGATTATTTAATATTTAATCTAATCGTAAGAGGGTGATAGAATTAGGGTGTAAAATATGTAAATACATTTGCATGTAGATGATAGAATCTAAAACAGATTAATAACGATAGAGCACGAACAATTAAAAATACTAAATTATTTTATATTTTAATATCAAAATTGAACAAAATTAAATTGATTATTTAAAATTTGGAAGTAATAAGAATATTAAACGTATCAAATCCTCATTTTAATACAGTGAACTGTGAACTCTGTTCATTCGCATGTATCATGAATCACTATCCGATGTATGTGAGTTATTTGATAATACTGATTATAATAATTAATATCCGACTATATAGTTTAAGGGATATTTAACTGGACTCATAAGTTGTTATTTATTCTCTTCGCTGTAATCATTGCTTTTTTACACATTTAGCACACATACACGCGTGCTTTCGCTTCCTATCAATTCTTCTCTGACGACTAACTAATTAAACAAAATTTATTAATCCTGGACAAATGAAAAAAAAAAATCATACATAAATGAAACATACTTGAATATAATTAATATTAACTAATCAAATTTATGCTTGTTAATGAGAAAGATAACTAGGCTTCTTAAATAGTGTGCTATGTATTATATTAACAATTTTCAAATAATCTCTACTGTCATACATTTCTAAGATTGATAAGTATCTCGTGGTATTCCAACAATCAGCATGAGTAGATAGAATGTAGAATAGATTTGTATAAAGGATAAGAATATAAAACGATAACAAATGCTCTCTTAGGGGAGACTATCATGAGCCAACTGAGCCCGAACAGTCCGAACGAAGACAGTTCAGGAGAATCCCGTCTAGACAGGCCTCGATTGCAACGATCCATGGGCCAAAGCAAGAAGACCTTCCGATTGAGAAAGAGTCGAAGATCTCACGTTGAGGTATCCTTTATGTCTTACAATTAAATTGTTCTTTATTAGTAAATGCATAACAAATGGTTTTTGTTCCTAAGTCTCAGATGAAACAAGAACAACAGGATATGCCAATAAATCAAGGTACAGTTCAGACACCACCACCAGTGCCAGCAATGGAACCTTCGGTCTTCAGCATTCCTTCTGATTCTTCCTCGATTCGTTCAAGACGCAGTTTGTCTACTCGGCAATCAGATGGTGATAGAGGAAATAATTTAGATCAACAACAATTTCATGCCTTACAACTTCAGCACCATCACTATCATCACCATCATCATCTTCACCCCCAAGTGTCGGACGTTTCTTGGGATGAAGATACTTCGAGCACATCAGGTTATCGCGAGTCCTATAGTATGCATCTAGAAAGCGTTAACAATGCTCATTCTCAACCACCTCTGGCATCACCTGATTTAAACGACATGCCTTCAACCAGTAGCACTACTACCAATTACATGGCTTTTGATGGTAGTTCTCCTGATAGTTTAATGAACGGCAGTGGTGGGGAGAAAACTATGTCTCAACATTCTCTTCTTATGGTTTTCCCAAATCAAGATGAAGATACTTTAATATAAATAATTAATGTTGTTTTCTTTAGCCCCGTGGTAATCTTACAAATTATTTCTCGTTCTTGTTGGTAGTATTCACTACAATAATAAGATAGCGACGAACGAGACTGACGACGTACACAATACGACTAAACACATACATACACACACACACACATATAATATTTGGTTATTCGAGTTTATTAGAAATGAAAATATTTTGAGTGAATGATGTGCATTAGGTGCTAATATAAAATAAATGAATATATGTCAATTATTAACTCGGTATGGAATAACGTTAATACCCGAGTTGATAACGTATTATATATTTATTCATTACAATATAAAGATTACAAAGATTAAAAAAAAAAAAGATCGTACGTATCATTTATTGTCCGTTGACCGGAAAGACCAATTTAAGAAACGAGTGATATCATAGCCTAACCGAAAGTCGTCTTGTCCAAGCATTTGTTATATTCATCTACATCTAGATATAAAGTTGAATTTATAATCGTTAGGCTGAATGGCCTAAACAAATTATATTTGTACGCACGGCGCGGATCCGTGCAAGTGAACAAGTAAATATGAGAAATGTTACAAGTTGGGAATAAAGATACGTTATTCGTACCTGGTATCAACATTCCTAGGTAAATAACTTATTTCTATTTGCCTATTTTTCATTTTGAAATTATATCAAGTGATTTGTGCCGAGGTAGATCGATACTTATATCAGCTAAAACGTAAGACACTGCAGCAAACAAAGCTGTACCCATGTCGAGAGTTTCTGGATTTTCAACTAGCATAGTATCTGCGTTAGAATGATGATAATAAAAATATTTATCATTTTTGTTCCAAAGAGATCCACCAGGCACGCCAGCTTCAATCCAATACGAAATATCAGGTCCAGCATTGGGTGTGCGCACTTTCATCTCTCCCAAGGGGGACATTAGTCTTTAATCGATAGAAAAAATAGTGACAAACATTAAACACATTTAATATTTGTTTTATAAAATATGAATAATTATCGCTTACTTCAAAATTTCTTGCAAAACACATCCCACGTATGGTACACCAGTATATTCAATACCCAACGGAGTAAATGTTCCAATATCCGATTCCATGACGAATTGCAAGTTCTTTTCTTCAGCTTTGTGCTGTTTCACGTATTGGCCTGCTCCGATTAATCCCATTTCTTCAGCAGTCCACATAATCATCCTATTAATATCAATATTATAATAATAGGGTTTGATAGTAATGAATATCATAGTAGAAATTATTACCTGATAGTTCTACGAGGTCGATAATTAAGTTGTTTCAACAATTGCAAGGCATTCCAGGAAATAAAAGCACCACCTCCGTCATCCATTGCGCCTTCACCCACATCCCAACTGTCTATATGACCTGATACTACCACAACACCTTCCGGTTTGTCTCTACCGCTTATCTCAGCGACGACATTTCTAGATTCTTTATCTGGCAAACTGTGTGCATCCATTTTTAAACGTATTATTATATTTTTATCTGTGAAAGAAAGTATACAATGATAAAATTTTATCAGTGCATTCTTATAGATACAGATTTATAATATTTTATATTTAATTTATTTACGCTTATTAGCTATTCTTCTCAAAAGGGTGGAATCCTCGGCTGTAATACAAGCCGCTGGTATTTTGGTGATATTTTCAGTATAATCCATCATGCCTGTATGTGGTGTATATAGCGAAACCGGTGTTACCGATCTGATAAGAACTGCAACTGCACCAAATTCAGCAGCTTTCGATGCTCCGGAGGAACGATATTTAACAGTTTTGTCATATGAAACATATTTTTCGTTGAATACGACGATCTTGCCAGGTACCTAAAACAAAAGCATAGCGTAATAAGTATTGTCCTAATGGGGATGATATTTTTATGATACCAAGTATCAAAGTGAACATAAAATTCATCAATGTCATTTATATCTACCTCATTCGCTCTACTCTCGAGTTCGGCAAAACTATCCACGACTATGGCACTAGCTGTTATCCCTTCTTTCGGAGTACCAACGCTGTATCCTAGTCCTAAGATTGCAATGTTTTTCCTTCTCGGTTGGATAAGCGTCGCAGATTCAAATCCTCTGAAATATTGGGTTGAAATATTAATGAAAAATAAATTTGTAATTATATTTGGAATTAGTGTTAACAAATTTTGACATACCTCACCCAATGAGGTACTTTAACAATCTCTCCGTGAACATTTTCCAATTTATAAGATCGCGATTTATTTAGAACATAATCGATCGAATCTTCTAATACCTGCGTACCGGTAAACCTTGGTCCAAAATTATCCACAAAATCTGCTAACTCTTGCCACGTTCGTCCTTTGAAAGTTCCGGATAGAGCTTCGCTAATAATATTATGTACCATCGGTTTATATGCTTTAATCTCGTTTTTTACATTAATCGACAAATTACATTTTTCTATTTCGTTATTATTTATATTATCTGCTTTTCCGATCGTTTGCGAGAAAAAAAATATCCAAAGAACGATAAGCCATTTCCCAATAATACACTTCATGGCTCTTCTGATCTATAGGGGTGTAAATTTATTAATTTATATATGTATTTATATTACAATCAATGTACAGAACTTAGACATTCTATAGATTGATCGAGCAATGTATATAATGTCCTACTCGATTAAAGACAGACTGATCAATTGACGTACTGCGTTCTACAAGAGCTTCCTATGTACTAATTTAATCTTCAATTGACAGTGGCTCTTAAAATATCGGACCAGTGAAATGATAAGAAATCCGATTGAGAATATCTATGTAGCTGCTTTGATATCATTTAATGTATAGTTCCAATAAAACTATTTTATTGATATTTTAGTATTTATATAGGATAGATTTTCAGTTGGTACGTTATCAAGTACTAGTAACCAAAGAATACAGAAGTACATACAAGTGGACTTGTATGTAGCTTTGTTATATCTCTGTATTCTTTCTAGTAATCAATTTGCTATTGATAACTTACCAACCGTTGGTAAATGTTACCAACGAGTATAGTGAATTTAATTGAGAACATGTCTACGATTCTCTCTAGCGTTTTCTGATCAACATGTGCAATTCGCATCTGTATAATACAAATCTATGGACTAACAAATGGAAACACTCACTGTCAGTATGACTAGAGATTTTTGTAGTGACACACTCACTTAGTTATTTGAGTAAAGAATTTACAGTGAATACTTTAAAACATTCGAACATTTGAACAAAATGTCGGACTATTTTGACGAAATGGGTTGGAACCCATTAGGTGATGGTGAGGCACCAAATCATTTATTACAAATGGTGCGATTATTGAGAGATTTTGGTATGTGGGAATTGCTTGGTCAGGATAAAAAATTGCCACCACCTGCATCCAAAGCAGCATTGAATAATCTAGAAGACATCAAAATATCTTCAAATGAATCAAAACAGTGTCCTGTTTGTTTGAAAGAATTCGAAGTAGATAACTTGGTCAAAACTTTACCCTGTCGTCACACTTTTCACAAGGAATGCATTATTCCGTGGTTAGAAAAGGTATGTAACATTATGAAGAAATAATGATCTTGATATTGAAGTAATTTGAAACTTTTCATTCAAGACCAACACATGTCCGCTCTGTCGATACGAGCTACCAACCGATGACGAAGACTATGAAATGTATAGAAAGGAAAAGAAGAGATCTGCAGAAAGAGAAAAAGATCTAGAGACTTTACATAATTCTATGTTTATGTAGTGAAATGCACAAGAGTGGTAATCGTTCAAAATTTAACAAATTTATAAAATATTTATCTCGTCGAATATTTCATAATTACTAAGAAATATAATACGATCTATAAATGTTACCGACGGCAGGTAAATTCGACTCGATCTAGGGAATTCGATACTTCTCCTATCGTTACCAGGGTACAATCATTTAATTTACATTAACAATTAGTCATATTATATATGCTTGTATTTATTATAAATAAGATTAAATAAAAATTGAATGAAAGTAAATTAGTTATTGGGAATAGTTAAATTATATTTATAAATAAGTCATGTAATTAATAATAGAAAGTACAATTAATCAACGAGTATAGGTTAATAAAAAGCCGATGATTATTAATAGGAAATAATGTTTATTATACAGTGTACATATTTATTAACTTCATTTATTTTATTTCTGTTATAAATTTTATATTAATAATTATATTATATGCTTTGCCGAGCGACGAATGCCTTAATCAGTGTGCGCTTAGACTATAACAATCTCCGTAAAAAGTATAGAAACTTCTGGTTTTTATTTTGTTCATTTATTATTATTATTATTTTTTTTACTTTTTAATTGCCTCTATCTCTTTCTCTCTTCTCCCTGCTCATTCTACCTCTCGCTCTCTCTCCCTATCTCACTTAATCTTTTTTTTCCCCATCTAGTTCTTCGTTTTTTAAACCCTGGAACGCGACCATCATTTGAGTCTTTACCCAGCAAAGAGAATCGCCAAAATATGTCGCGCTGAAAACGGCATAATCGTTCGGCATATACAAATAAATAATAGTACTGTCGAAGTTAAAGTAATTGGCGGTTTATTCTTTTTTTTTTTTCCATTTTTCTTTCTTTTTTCTTGTCTCTTATTTTCATCATTTTTTTTTTATTATAATTATAATTATTATTATTATTTTTTTTCTCTTATTTTCCGTCGGTGATGCCATTTCCGAAAGAATGGCACGTATCGCCGCCGCGCCCTAAAATATTCCTTTTTTTCTTCGGACGCGGCCATTTTCCACAAAAATCTTCTCCCTTTACCTCATTTGCGAATAATACTTAAACCCTAAGGTTTCAAAGTATCTCGTTTTATTAATTATTTATATAATATGCGTAATAATATAAATAATGTCGTTAATATACCTATCATAATTACCGTTTCTTTAATAATAAACTATCTGAATGGTATATTTTCTTTCTTCTAGTGGCCATTTCCGTAATAGCTAGATTTTTTTTTTTTTTGTTATTTATTTATTTATCTTTTTATGTAGTCTGTATATGCGAGCTCCAAGTGGGATAAGGTACGTCGTACAGAGAATTTTATTCGGCTCGGCGTTTATTACACATAAGAAAGAACGGAAACGAAAAAGACGAACCCAAACAATGTCCGAATACGGGAACACGTCTGTGGCGCGAAAATACGAACGTCGGGGAACCTTACTTCGTTTGCTGATACGTGACAACGATTTTTCATCATATATGATATATATATCACATCCTACGATTCCTTTTCTTTCATTCTTTCTTTTATCGTCCCATTTTATTCCTGCATATATATATATATATATTTATATGTAAAGAAAAAGAAAGAAAGAGAGAAAGAAAGAGAGAGAGAACTAACTGATTCCCTTTCTATCCATCATTTTTGTTTAACCCTCTTCTTATAAACTTTCGTTTGGAACGATAGACAACGACGACGACGACGACGACGACGACGACAATAAAACACTAGGTTCTAAAGTTTCATATCATGATTTCGTCACGATCATCTACGAAGTGAAGGTTCCCACGAGGTACGTTCAAAAATTCTCTACATTTTACATATTTCACCGTGTCCTAGTCTTGATATAGTATAAATGTACGACGTTGATTTATGTCACCCAGACTTATTTATTTTTTTTTTTTCATTCGTCTCTTGGTGCGCGTGTCCGCGTGTACGTGTTTTGTGTGTGTATTTCGTGTATGTACGTACGTATGCATATTTTCATTTTTCATAGTATTATTTTCACTTAATGTAAATTCCTTTATTTCTTCGTCTTCAATCTCTTTTTCATCATCTTCTTCTTCTTCTTCTTCTTCGCGTTATCATCATGGTTATTTTTTTTATTTGTTTATTTTTATTTTTTATTTTTTGGGTTTACTTTATTTATATTTCAAACGTTGTTACGCGTTTTTCAGCCTCCTAACGTAAGGGTTAATTATCTTTAATTTTATGCAATGTATTTTAGTTATCTTTGTTTTTTTTTATATCTTCTTTATAATAATAATAATCATAATCGATAACCATAATAATAATTGTAATAATAATAATATTAACCGTCATCATCGTCGCGCATGTGTACATCGTGATGTCTCTGTGTCTTTTACTTTTATATTTAACCTTGTATGTATGTACGTGAGTTAGAGTGTGTAGTTATGTGTGTTTATGATTGCGCATCTGTTAGTATCGTGTTAGAGATCATAGCTCGCGATGATGCTGTTAATTCGTCATCATATCGATATTACATTATTAATATTATATTACACGATCCTTATGAAAATAATAATTAAAAAATGACATTTTTCTCGCGTTCGCGCTGTCTTCGTTTCCAAAATTCCGGTTCGTCGTGTTAATAGGTCCCACCGGTCCTCTCATTCGAACTTCTTTCCTTTCCCTCGCTCTCTTTCGTCGCTTAAACTTTCATCTTGTCGCATATTTTAAACAAAAAAAAGAAAACCCGTTCGATAATTACGGGATATAACAAATGTTCATTTTTATTTCTTGTACCTAATGCAACCCTGACGCCAACCGATTGAGAATCAGCCACATTTTCCGTACTACGAAGCACGAAGAGACGAGTTGCTTCCTGATTTCCTTTTTACATTTTAAACATTGCCCCTTTTTTTTCCTCCTATTAATTTTGTTCCTTTTTTCTTTTTACTGATAGTTACATGCACGATTTCTAAGGGAATAAAGGAAAACAGGAAAGTTCTCTCTCCCTCTCTATCTCTTTCACATTATTACAAATATTATTATTACAATAACAAATTATATTTGCGTGTGCGTATATTGTGACGCATCGCTTAAAAAGGAACACATCCCGAAGGAACGTACTTCGATGCTCGGAAAATGGGCCTTTCAAATTCTAACGGTGGATAATCCACGGCGCCATAGCTGATCGCATATCGCGGAAACTTTTCATCTTTTTAAATAACTCGTCGTTGTCCTTCGTCGTCGTCGTCGTCGTCGTCATCGTCGTCGTCGTCGTCGTCGTCGTCGTTGTCATCGTCATACTTGGCTTTCTGCATAGTAACCGTGGAACAACGACGAGACAGGACGATTATATTTTTCCGCGAATAAAATTGCACACCCTCGTGTTGAGGGATCGAGGAAGCGAGGGAAAGAGAAAGAGGAACAACGAGGAGGGCTTGAGAGGTAGTAGTAGTAATAGTAGTAGTAGTAATACAAAGGGAGAGTAGGAGTGAAGGTGGAAGGAAGAAAGGAAGGCCGAAAAGTTTCCACGAAACACGCATGCTCCAATCTCACGCCTCTTCTCCACCTTCTCTTCCCCTTTCCTCCTACTTTCCCTCCACCTACCACCTTTACAACCAACCCTCTTTCTACTCCTCCTCCTTCTCCATCTCCTTCTCCTTCACCTTCTTCTTTTTCTTGACTCCCTTCGACCCATCATCATCATCATAATCATCATCATCATCAACCAACGTCTTATTCCATTCTCTAAACGCAATTTACGTACTACATCAATTTAATAAGTCCGCAAATTTTATTATTATTTTTTTTTCTTTCTTCCTTCCTTCCTTTCATTCGTTCATTCTTTTTTTTTTGTTTTTTCTTGTTTTTTTTTTTTAAACGTGTGTGTATGTGTGTGTGTCGTGTCGCGCGCGCGATCGTCGTTTACACGCCCATCGTGCTGGCCGCCACCCTAAAAAGCTCGACACGCTGATATGCTAAAACCCTCTTCTTCTCTTCTTCTTCTTCTTCTTCTTCTTCTTCTTCTTGAATAACCCCTCGCTTAAAATTGTCTTACGTTTTTTCTTTTCTTTTCTTTACTTCCTTTTTTTTTCATTTTTATTTTCTTTTCATATT